TCAGAAAAGACATAGTTTATTGTGTTAAAATGGAGCTTTTTTTTTAGTAATGGTGATGGTTATGACTTTGCAAAAAATGAAAGTTTTATTGTATTTTTGTGTGATATCTGTAATACCACTCACCTAAGATCTCTAATGAAATTCTCTGTATGGTGCATTGTTATTGAACATAAAAGCTTTGATTTCATAATTTTGAATTGCAATAAATAAGATGTTCAATCAAGTTCAATATAGTAATCCAGTCAGTTTTTGTTTGTCCATGCCCCAGGGGAAAGCAATGTCTGGGACATGCAGAAATCTATCAAATGCATTGAATCTTTGAGTTGAGAAATATTGTTTAGATCTATTTTCTTATCCTGTAATGCAGGTAACAACAACAACTTAAGAGCACAAAAATATATGAATTTGCTAAGTGAACAAAGACCAAGGTCCATCACTTCGCATTCCTCCATCCTGGCAGTTGCTTCACATGCCTTGTCCAAACTATATACTGCATTCTGAGATATTATTATATATGAGAAATCGATCTAATTTTTTCTTGAAACAAACAACACTTTTTGCTTCCATTGTCTCCCGTTTGGGACACCAAATGTAGATTGAGTGATTGCTTTGCCGAACACTTCCGTTCCGTACGCAATTGCAACACTGAGCGGCTGGTCGCTTGCTACTTTAATTCTCCTTCCCACTCCCACTCTAACCTCTCTGTCAATGGTCTCCTACACTGTTACCATGAAACACAATGCAAGCTCGATGAACAGTATCTCATCTACGTCCTCGGCATCTCTGGCCTCAACTTTGATTTTGGCCGCTTCAGACCTCAAACACAGCTCCCATCTTCTTTCAGCCTTCCCTCTTGTATAACCACTCACACATCATCTGGGTGGCAGACACATCTTTTCTTTCTCTAATCTCCCACTATTGCCTTCTTTTATCTTGCACCATCAAAACTTCTGATCTCATCATCTACTGTCGTTCACCTAATTTGTTCCTATGTCTTTCTTTTCCGCCCACTTCTTTATTCTTCCTTATGAACTGCTCCCTTCCAACATTACCCAATTCTGAGGTTATTGGCCTCAAACGTTAATTCACTTTCCTCTCTCCATAGTTGCTGAGTGTTCCCAGCGAGTGTTCTCTGTTTTTATTGTTATACAAATATAGGTAGCTGGGGAGAGGAAACGATGATCACTTTCTTTGTTTCTCTGCCTCCACGTCTCTATCTTGCTCTCTCTCGCCCTTTGAATCACATTCTGTCTACCCCCCCATCTCACGCTTTTGCACATACTTTCTCTCCCTCTCTCACCCATTCTCTCGCTCTCTCCATTTCTCAATCTCACTCCTGCTCTCTCCTCTCACACCATCTCTCTCCTCCCTCTCTCAATGACTCTCTCCCCCTCTGCATCTCTCTCTCTATCTGTCACATACACACGCACACATTCTCAATTTCTCTCTCTCACTCGCCCTCTCACCCATATATACCTTCTCTCCGCCCCCCTCTCAAACTCTCCTTCAATCGCTCTCTCACTCTCTCTGCTCCCTCACTTTCTCTGTTTCTTGTTCTCCCCCACTCCTTCAATCTCTCTCTGTTAATTACTATGCCAACCCACCTCTCCACCACCCACCCCCACAAACTGCATATCCAAACTGTGAGCAGAGTAATGGAGGCGATGATATTAAACATTCCATGCCCACTGAGAGCTTCGCAGGGAGTTGCTGCTACCTGCCATCCACCCAATGTGGGCTGAAACTTGTGCTTGTCAACTGTCAGATGACAAAATAGAGTGCATGCTTGTGTTTAATAGTCTCTGGGATTAGATAAACAGGATGTGTCTCTCCATTCTCAACACGTGGGAATTTCCATATGTAGATGGGATGCATGGAACTCATCATTTTCTTTGCAGAATCTTAAGCATGGTTTTCTGCATAATAATAATAATAATAATAATAATTTAGCAGATATCCGTGAAGATGGATGGGATTAATCTCATTATCACGTTAGTGATCACGTGTCCTTACAAATTGCACCAATGGATTGGGTTAATCTCATCATAGTGTTAGTGATCACGTGAACTTACAAATTGCACGTTCACCACAAACTCAATTTCCTGAACTCTCAAAGGCAGGAAGTCAAATGACAAAGAAACGTTGTTCTCAACAAAACATTTGTGCAGCCTTGTTACAGATCAGCTTATTACAGACCATCAGGGGCACAACTGATCTGAATCATAGTGGGGGGAACGGTATTTAATGTACTAATATATCCTTGTTATTTTTTCTGATAGGTTGGTACTGGTGGTTTTTCGGTCAAAGTAACATTAATCTTGAATGCGTGATTGCCAGCAGGGAGACAAACATCACCTTCCTCTGCATCATTCCTTTCGTTCATTAAACATATTATTCGAGTACAGTTTATTTATACACTTTGTGATTCAGAAAACACCAAGAAAATAATTTGTTCTTGACTCAAATTGAACATTTACGGTTTCTCATGCGCTCATCATTGGTCAGCTTTAAATACCAAGTAAGTGGCCTATTGCTCAACCCAAGACTCCACTACAATGATGATTGTCAATTCCCAATCCTAATATCAATATCAAGCTTGTGCACAATTTGTAAAACAATGTTTTGTGCGAAAACTCAACGATCCTCTCAAACATACCGATGTTTTGCGTCTACTGACCGCTGCCAAACACTGCATGAACATTATCCACAGCTGAGAATGCTGTCCAATCAAAATTCCTGCTAGTTGACATCTGGGAACATGTATCTACCTGAAAAAGTCAGTTTGACTTCAAGCCAAAGGTCGAGACTTTAAACTCATGTTCTAGGCTGACGCTCCAATGTCATGATGGGTTTGTTCTGCATTGTCGTAGGTGTAGTTCGAGATACTTGTAGATGCTTCTCCATGTGAAGGGCGTAATATGTATGTATACTGTTAAGTTAATAATTTGTTATCATTACCTTATAGATGAGACATTGAACGAGGTCCAGGCTGAGTGTTCAGGTGTACAGTGAAGATGGTTTTGCATTACAACTAAATTGAAGTGGATCCTCTGGGTATCATGACTAACATTTCTCTGGAGAAAATTGGTCATTGGCTTCATACCTTCATATGTTTATTAGATATTGCTGTGAGAAAGTAGATACAAATCAACCACATGTAAAGAATTTTTATTTATTTAGTGATATTTCTAAAATTCAGCTATACCTCTGATATTGTATTCATTCAGAGACATTTTGTATCATAGCATCATAGAATTATACAGCATAGAAGGAGACCATTCAGCTCACCATGTGTGTGCCGGCTCTAAGAAATGAGCTATCCAATTCAATGCCAATCCCCCGCGCTCTCCCCATAACCCTGCAACTTGGCTTCCCCAAATAATTATCTACATCTCTCTTAAAAGTTCTTATCGAATTGGCTTCCACCACCCTTTCAGGCAATCATTCTCGATCCAAAGAATTTGCTGTGTGNAAAAAACTCTCCTCACCTCCACTCTGTTCCTTTTATCAACTATTTGAAATTGGTGTCCTTGGGTTACAGACCCACCCGACCCTGGAAATAGTTTCGCCGTGTTCACCCTAACAAATCCCCTCATCATTTTGATAAACTTCTATTAAGTCTCCTCTTAACCATCTCTGCTCCAAGGAGAATAATCCTAACTTCTCTAGCCTCATTCCTCGTTCCATGCTGGCGAAACCAAAACCTTGACATTCTTCCTAAAGTTTGGTGCCCAGGACTGAACTCAGTCGAATAGCCAAAGCCTAAAGAGTATTTTATAAAGGTATAATTGTAGTGTTTGTCAAGAAGATAAACTGACTTTGTAAAAATGGAAACATTTATTTTGTATTTCTGTAATATCTGCCATTAAATTGTTACAAAAAATCTGCTATTGACAAACCATAATGTATAATGAAATCATAAACTTTGTACTTACTATATTGATTTCCATTAAATAAAATATGGAAAGACATTCAATATGGTAATGCATTCAATGCTCAGGTTCCAGAGGAAACAGTGTACCTTTTCTCAGAACATCAAATCTTTGTATTTGATTCAAAGGTCAGTTTTGCTCTCCGTGCGCTTTCCATTCGATTGCCGTCACTTGGTGTAGCCTAAAGCTGATGTTAAACTGAAGACAATGTAGCATCCTTAGCTCTGTAGTTCAGCTTTAAAGACATATAGATCCTTATTATATACGTATTATAAATGTGAATGTTTGGAGGTTACAAAAGGGATATTTGAGAAACTGAGATGATACAGAGGGAGGGCAACCAACTGATTGAGGGAATGGAACTACTGGACTATGACCAGCAACTAAGTAAGTTGGGCATGTTCATGCTGGAAAAGAGAAGATTGAGAGGCAACATGAGTGCTGTTTTTAAGATTCTGAAGTGGTTAGACGATATAGATACATGACAGGCTGTTTCATTTTGTCCAGAATAGTAAAACCAAAGAACAAGGCTTACGATTCAAGGGATGTGAATTCAGAACAAATCTACACAAATACTAATCACTGAGCAAATAGCGAAACTGTGGAAAAAGGCTCCTTAGGGAGATGGTTGAAGCAGGAAGTGTTGATGCTTTCAAACACAGATTAGATAGTTTTTTTCTAGGAAATAACATTAGGGGATATAGTACATAGGTAGTTTGGGACTATGGGCATGCAACCACCAGGAAGGTGGAAGGCGAACTAGATGGCTCTTGGTCTATTTTTGTCTATCATTTCTTAGGTTCTTATGTACCTATGATAAGGAAGAATTAATGCAAGAATGCAGAAAACAAAACCACAGAATAATATAGATGTATGTAACCCTTCTCTTTGCTGCTAATCTGAGGAGTGTTTCTCAGGCACAATGAGAGATTGAAAGGCACAATTCTCTTTGCAAATCGTATGTCACTCATCTCTGACCATGGAGACGGGAAGTCACATGACACTGCGAATTATTTCATATTAGACAATCAGCAAATGTTTGTTACACCCAATAACATGTTGAGGTGAGTCTCAGCAACTGATCACGATGGTGGCGAGTGATGTGTTCCCCTGTCTTTCTCTGATGGGCATTATTTTCGCAGGTAATTGTTTTACTTCAGCGGATCTTACATACAAAACAATATTGATGAAGAGTTTCAAAATGTTTCAGTGGATGCATAAATCTTCCTCTTTCTCATTCTTCCACCTTCTCTCCCTTTTTCTCTATAGTTATTTTGTCACCTTTCTTCAACTCTATAATCACTAATTATAGCTCTGATTTATTTTCTCACAGTTGCTGGGGATGCATCGATGAAAGTGATCCAATATCCTGTAGAACAGATAGCAAATCAAGGTGAAAGCATTACCTTCGGCTGCAAGTTTGCCGATATTCAGTCCACTTCAGATTTAACCTTTTACTGGTGGAAGCGAGGAGAGCGCGAATATTTACATACAAGTCCTGACAACAGGAAAATATTCAACTTCAAAACGTTCCAGCTCCTAAATGTGAGTTTCCACGACTCAGGAGTCTATCTCTGTGCAGTGAGCCGTCAGGGGAAAACAGCAGCAAATGGAACTGGATCACGTTTAATTGTACATGGTAAGTGTGAATACAGTTGATAATGTGAATAATGTTGAAAGACGAACATTGCGGCATTTTGAAATCGTTATGGGCAAATTGCTTGTTTCATTTTTTTAATCCCATCCACAGTTATGATCGTACAGCACACAGCGAAATATTTTATTTTAACCTGAAATATTTTGATCAATACAATATTCATCAAAAGTATTGCCCATTTGTTATTGTACAAATGGGAGATAGCGGGTTTATACCCACGGCAAAGTGGGAATTTGAGTTGCTTAATAATTGTTTTTAGTAACGCTTTCAAACAGTTATAACCGTCCTACCACAGCAAGTAGAATATTAATTTATCCAGGATTTTATTCTATGATGAACACATTTATTCAGATTGTCCCACGTCAATACATGAAGATCACTGCGCACACAATCAAAAGCAATGTTAGGAACATTGTCTTGAGGTTGAATTATTATTATGATTAATCAGAATCTTTTGCACTATGGTCCAGACCTTTACATTGCTCTATTACTTGATGTGAATGAGGCGCTAAAGCGAGGTCCCTCCTGCATGTTCAGGTAAATGTTAACGATCCCGTAGTTCTTTTCGAAACCAGAAGAGAGATCCTTCCCTCCCCTGTCCGGCAGACGACTCCACCAGAAAAAAGTTGGTTACTCATTTCATGACTATTTGTGGCACAAGCTGTGTGCAAAATTGGCTGCTGTGTTCTTCTACAAAATTGCCACTTCTTACAGTGAATCCTATGATAAAGCTTTGAGACATCATCTCGACAAATGGATCCATATCGAATGCAAAACTCATTTTAATATCCTTATTATTAACCCCTTAAAATGTTTAGCCTTCGCCCTTTTAAATATCCTACTCCAATCTTATTATTAATAATAATAATAATAATCATTGCACTTGATATAGCGCTTTTCACATCGGGAGGACTTCCCAAAGCGCTTCACAGAACACACTGTAAAGTGAATTGACTGTATATTTGTGGGTGAACGCGGCAGCCAATTGCGCACAGCAATGTCCCACAAACAGTCGTAGATTGAAAATGACAATTTATTATTGTTTTTTGTTTTGGAGGGATTATTATTAGGCTCTGTGTGGAGTAAGGAAACGTGCCCAAGGTTTCGTCCTCTGCCTGGAATTGAACCCAGGTCTCTCACTTGCAAAGCGAGTGCTCTAACCACTGAGCTACAGGACTCCACATTATTATTATAAGAATAATGCAAGATTTATCATTATTAACACAACAATAATACTAATAATTAATGCTAATAGCACTGCTACTATTAATAATGATGATAATCAGAATCTCTTGCACCTACGGTCCAGACTTTTACAATTTACTGATGTATATGAAAGGCAGATGTTTAAAAGCACTCGGACAATTAGCACCAATTTGCATACAGCAATGTTCCATCAACGGTCATGAAATGATTTTGAATTACCTATTCTAGTTATTGTGAGTTGGTTTGAAACTTAAATTTGAAGAAACACAGCAGAACAAAATGAATGTTGGTGTTAACGGGGAAGTTTTGCTCATATCTCTAATAAAGGTGAAATCTCCACTTGTCGTTGCTCGAGAATGTTGGCATAATTTTTAATCCAATTTCTCCACCACGTTCCAACCACTTAAAATGTTTAGCCTTCGCCCTTTTAAATATCCTACTCCAATCTGTATTTAAGGCCACTTCTGGGAGTGGATTCCATAATAGTATAGTAATACATGTGAACGGAGAGATTTCATGTCACGTCGAACAGATTCAGCCAAAATGTTTGATTGTGTCTCCTATTTTTATTCCTCTACTGGAAGGATGCGCCTGCAATATGTTATTGTTCATTCACAGCTCAGTTAAGTTAACTCCCATCTTTCTCAGATCTATCAAATATAAATCAAGTTTACCCATTCTCTCATCATAGTTAATACTTTCATTCAGCTACTAATATGGTGGAGAGAGGCAGGACCTCCTACAAGGCATCTTTTAATGTTTCGTAACTTAAACATTGTTCCAAATTAAACACCCAAATAGGATCAGTTTTTTCCCATTCCAATCTCAATTCCTTGTTATGACAACTACAACTTGCAACAGCAACTTTCACGAAGGGCAGCATCTCGGTGGACCTTATTTGTTATAACATTGTAAGGAAACAATTCATATACAATTTAAATGGGAATAAAATTTTATATTTCAACTGATCACCAATAATATGATTCTGCTGCATTGTCTGTCCTACAGTCCCCCCTACCCCGCTGAAGATGTTCGCTAGAGATTCTGAAATAGATTCGAAAATATTTCTGACGCTTGTGTGTAAAACGGCTGCATTTTACCCAGATGATATAACGCTGACCTGGAGTAAAGATGACAATGAAGTTAAAACTGGGATAAATTCTACTAAAGAAAGGAATTCAAAGGGACTTTATGAATTTTCGAGCTATTTGGAAGAGACACAGCCTGTACAGAGTGGCGTTGATTATACCTGTCTGGTATCTCACATCAGCCTCCGGATTCCAGCAGTTGCCAGATATTCAGTTTCTAAATCCAACACAGGTAATTTCACAATAAACATAATCCTTGCATTTGATATAGCGCTGTATCACGTCTTTGAGAAGCCTGAAGCGGTTCACAAATAAACTGGAAAGTGAATTGAATGTATGTTTTGTGGGTGAATCTTGGCAGCAGTTTGTGCACAGCAGTGTACCACAAACAGTCGTGGATTGAGTGACCGAAGTACTTCAAATTATTGTATTTTAAGGTATTATCATTATCCACAGGAAAGCAATCTGCCAATTGACTAACAACTGGATTCCTACTTACTGCTAGATGAATACAGAGACGTGTGGTGTAAAGAAATTTGCCCAATGTTTTGCCTGACCCAGTAATGGAAGCCAGGGTCTCTAGCTTGTGCGGTGATTGCTCTAACCACTAAGCTACAGGACTCCACTAATTGGCCAATATCCTACTGTTAATTGTTATTAACTGAATTGTTTTTGGAAAATATTTAATTTGGTTTGCACTGAAGATTATGATCATATAGTTTTGTAGCCGAATACTCCATATAAATATATACAAAATAACAATCAGCTTAATGTGTATCGTCTTTGAATTGAAAAGATTCATACCATCTGCCTGAGAAGAAGGATTTAAAAACTCATCACATTTCAAACTCCTGGTCTCTGCTCAATAATGTCGTTCACCTCTAATTGTTTTGGTGTCTGGAATGGAATGTGCTTCATGTCCATGGAGAGGTTCACCATTCTAGCTTAATCGGAATAGTATTTGTCATAGATTTGGCGAGACCCCTCACCCCAGTGACTGTCCTGCAATTTTAAGTCTTGTTGACGAGCTCGGCTATCTAGTTTCTCATTAAAAGTGCCTTGGATTCCTACGGATCTACTAAGACCCTGTTTAAAAATAAAATATCAAATAATAAAACCTGCTAACATATCTCTATTCGGATTCACCGCGCATTTACTGAAACTATAATTCATTGCTGTGTTCAATAACACATTCAGTTTATACTGTCCTTGTAGAGAGTGACGCTCAGCTTCCTTATGCGCTGATCGCTGGATGTGCAGGGGGAGGCCTGGCATTTCTGCTGCTTTTGTTCATCATTGGAAAGCAATGGCAATTAAGCAAAAAGAAAGGTAAGATATATTCCTGTTTAATTCAGGTTAAATGTAAATGTTTAATTTAACACAAAAGTTCAGTTAATAGCAGAGAATTCCAGATAACAAGGAGAGAAAAACATCCTGTAAAGTGACGCCAATCATTAATATATTGCGATTGATTGACAAATGCCCTAACAGAATCTCTCTCTGCTTATATTTAGCTGCATATTTAATCAGAAATTTCCATGCAACAAATGTCTGAAATCTGTTGTGATACAATTACAGAAATGTACAGTGCAGAAGGTCATTCAGCCTATGGTGTCTTTATTCCTTCTTTAAAGAGTCCACATCCCATTAACCCATCTTTTCCATATCGTGTTACAATTGATTAATTTTATAAAATACAACGAGAAAATGTTTTATTATATAAAATGCACATTCTGCCTGGGCCACTGAACTCGCAGCACCAATCTTCCCCGGAATCAGTCTGGTAAATTTCCTAAGTGAGGTAAACAATCCTGCATACAGTATTCTAGTTCTGACACTGACAATTTATATCAGTTTAATATTACCTCTTCGGTTTTACATCTCATACCCAAATTATCTATTCTCTTGGTTAATTTGTTGAAAATTTTGAAGGTGGCTTGGGAAAGAGGGACTCTATGATGGAGCTACAGAGAACAATAATAATAATAATATTAATAATAATCCTTGCATTTGGTATAGCGCTGTTTACAGGAATAAGATTGAGAGGGCAAGATAGTTTGTAGTTAAGGTGGTGTGATTTATTTGATTCTACTCCTGGGCTTAAATTAGAGTTAGATGCAAGACAACTTTATACTTTTTTAAAAATAAAAACGATTCTGGCAGCTTGTGGGTTTTGAATCGTTTTTCATTCAGTCTAACCAAAATATATTCAAAATTACTGTTGTGGAAATTGAGTGAACTCTTCTTCTGTTAATTTCCTTCTAAGGTCCACGCAGAAACCAGAAGGGATCGAGTCATTGCGAAGAGCAGGTACATTTATTAAATTCAACTCAGCAGATGTTTCATCTGAAAACAGGGTTGTTGTGATGGAAAGATACCGTTCTTCAGAAATAAATTAGAACATTTTAAATGTATTCCCTCAGAGCATCTCTGCAGCCTCAATGTATCATTCAAATATGAGGTGCCCGGTGACATACATTTGGTGACAGAGTATTCAATAAAATTGTCTGCTTTTAAAATATATGAAAGCTATGTCTTAAATATTTTAAACTTATGGACATTCAGATAAGTACTTACACAGCAATCTTCAGAACAGTGAGGACAACATTCCAGCAGCGCCCTGGAATGTCCTTCCGAAGTGAAAGGTGCTCTAAAATCCAATGTGTTGCTGTTGTTGTGATCACAATCTGTTTTATAGACGATGCACAGAGGAGAGAATGAGCCGGTGGCTTATGTCACCTTGAATTTGACCAGTTCCAAGAAAACTCCAAGACCCAAACAACAGGAGAGCACTGTGTACGCCCAGGTATATCTTTGAAACACAAATACGAAACATAAACCTTTTGTATTCAACTGGATTTCCTTGCTTTGGTAAATAGAGTGGAACTCACTTCAGTGTTCACTATAAGACTGTTTGCAACATTTCTGTGGTTAATCTTTCTTTCTCCTCTAATGTTCACTCTCTGACACTGTCCTGGGCTGTGATATGCTCACGACAATTTGTCACTGTATAGACATTTATTTTTCTTGAAAAAGACCAGCTATTGTGCATCAATCTATAAGGCACTGGGTCATCAATTATATACAGAAATATATACCCACATTTCTGTAGGTCAATGAACAACTCATAAACTGATTGATTTTCACTTTTCTTTACTAACCTATTCGTGGTAGAAATTGTAGCTGCTGGATTCTGTTTGACTCAGTTCTTTATAGGAGAAGTGACTGCCTATTTGAGGAGATTACTGAAGAATAAAATGAATTAATATAATCAAATTCTCAAAAATTGCCTTTACAGACCAAGCAAGGAGCAGCGGAGCACAAGCTGACATATGCCGCTCTGGATTTACATCCTTCCAATAAAACAGGAAAACCTAAAAGTAGAGTTAAGAATACAGAGTATGCAGAGCTACATGTGAGAAACCACGGAGGAGCAGCAGCAGCTATCTGCAGGGAACCAAGATCCAAGTTATGAAACAGGCTCCTAAACTGATATTGTTGTATATTAGGTGTTGTTTTCCACCAAAGTGAACAATGTGCATATTATTCCTGTGCTGCTATTCTCTTTTAACCTGTTTGAACCATGAGTTCATTTATTAGTTTATTACATTAGATGTCTTTAGGAAATGTCTTGGAAAGTTACTTATTATATCTATATAGCTATACTTAAATGCTAAACATTATTTTAATGTGAATTTGACCAAACCATAAAGGTATCTACTGAACTATTTGTTTAGAATATAGCTCTTTAACTGCTGCAAAACTAAAACCAGAGTTCAAACGAATGGAACTGTTGTGTAACATGTTCAATCAACCTCTCAATAAAAAACAAGTTGCATAAATCAGTCTCTTCTGGTCACTCTGTCTCTTCAGTACTAATGAAACAACACTTGGTAAGGTCTAACATAAAAGCTGTCAACAAAATATGACACAATTCATCCAACCCAGTGAAAAAGTTGAGGCGTGGGTGTTGAACGGTTGAGCTGTTCACCTAAATGCTAAAAATATATCTCACATGAAACAAATAAGTATTAAAACCCCAATCGTTCTGCTGTATTTCTAAATGTCACAGAATAATTCCATTACAAAAGTCTCGCTCTCTCAGATTATATATAGAGCAAGGGGTTACAAACTGTTTCCATCCATTAGGCTGTGGCTATTGTAGTAAAGTGGCTGTAACAACTGTGCACAATATTTCTTTGTTTGTGTAACAACAGATATGCATTCTTACAACATGAGGTATATCGTTGTGGGCATCATGTCCTGGCTCACTACAAGTAAAGCCTGAACTGTAGAGTGGGTTTAATTCAAATTTGTTTTTATTAATTATCCATGAATTTAATGTAGTGACTTATTCCGTCGCCACAATATCTCAAAGCGCTTTACAGGATATAGTGTAACGTGATGTGGCTTTATGTGATACTGTGTGTTTTTTACTAATTTAACAAAAAATCTTTTTTAAAAATACATGTTTAAAGTGTTGCTTCAGTAAAATGGCAACGCACCAACTCGTACAACCTCCGCTCAATCCACACGGATGTGTGCCAATAGGGTCAGGGGGATGGGGGATCTATCCTCTCACACATTTCATGCTTATTTGTGCTGCTCATTATGGGTTTCCAAGGAATTCCTGATATTTGCTATCTATTTAGTGTAGACTAAACCCAGTGCTTTTTGGATGTCTAATTTCAACCAGCCACAGTCATTGGAGCCAGTAAGCAAACAGCGTGGCCTTGTAGCTGAGCTACGTCCAGTGTGACTTGCTTAGCAAAAGAACTTTGGAATCACTTTCAACAACTTGGATTCACATGGATTTATACAGCGCCCTCCACGCCGGACGGCATCACAGAGCGCTTCACAGTAACGGATCCCAGGACCGAGCCGGGGGAGGGGGAGGAAGCTGACCAAAGGCACGGTCGAAAAGAAAGGTACTTCAAGGAGTAGACCTCTCACTGGGAGTGGGGTATCTTCCCACTCAGATACTGTTAACTCTGTAGGCCAAAAACCTAATGAAAAGAGTAGTCCTCGCTGGACAAGCAGTGAAGCTCGTCAGATAGTGCTTTCAATAGCAAGCTTTGAGACTTTAGCTTGTTAAACTCCAATAGTACAACCAGTGCACCCTTGGGCTTCCCTACCTCTTCACTCACAATTGGTTTCATTGAAGAAGACCCTTTGGCCTATCTGATCACATCCTTTCAGAACGCACTACAAGTTCCCCCCACCACCATGGTAAAACCTGGGATCTATTGTGATATTGCCTTTGTAACTCTAAACTTATAGATCTGCGTATACTTTTTCAATCCCATTTAATATTTTAAATACCTCTCAAAGTTCATTCCTCTAATCCTGGGGGCCATCCTCGTTGCTTTCTTCCATGCTGTCTGTTGGAACTCAACAGCCCCATTATGTCACAGTGACAACAACAACAACAAAATTACATTTATAGAGGGGGAGGGTAGCGGTGGGGGAAGGCAGAGAGGTGGGAGAGCGACCGAAGGCATGATTGAAAAGGAGGATCTGGAGACCAGCCTTCATGGAGGCAAGGGAGGAAGTGAGGCAAAGAGACTGTGGGAAGGAATTCCAGAGTGTAGGTGCAGAGAGGCTGAAATCCCGGCCACCGATGGTAGGGCGGGTCAGGCGGAAGACATGGAGCAGGCCGGAGCCTGCTGAATGGAACGAATGGGCAGTTTGGTAGGGAGTCACTAGGTCAGAAAGGAAAGAGGGGTAAGGTCATGGATGGCCTTGGAAGTGAGGACGAAGATCTTGAATTCAATCCTCTGATAGATGGTGAACCAGTGGAGTCGGGCGAGGGTGGGAGTGATGGGGTCACGGAGCCTGATGCGTGAGAGTACATGAGCTGCAGAGTTTTTGATGATCTGCATTTTGTGAAGGGAAGAGTTGGGAAGGCCGATGAGGAGGGAATTTCCATAATCGAGCCTTGAGGTAACGAATGCATGGGTATGGATTTCAGCAGCCTATGGGGGTGAGGCAGTGGCAGAGTATGGCAATGCATGTGGGGTCATCCGCATATTTCGGGAAGTTTACGCCATGTCTGTGGATGATGCCATCAAGTGGGAGCATGTAGAGGGTGAAGAGGAGGGGATGGAGGACAGAGCGCTGAGAAATGCCATACGAGATGGTTCGGGGCTGGAGGTGAAGCTGTTCGCTGAGACGAAGTGGAGTCGTTGTGAAAGGTAGGACCTGAACAAGTCAAGGACAGAACTTTGAAGGTTGACATGGGAGGAGAGGCAGTGGAGGAGTATTGAGTGATCCACAGTGTCAAAAGTGGCGGAGAGGTCAAGGAGGACGACGAGGCATCGGGAGCCTTGGACACATGGTCAGGATGTCGTTTGTGACCTTGACCATAGCAGTTTCCGTGCTGTGCACAGCATAGAAACCCAATTGGAGGAGCTCATGGAGGAGACGAAAGTGCAAAATTGGGAGCAACGGCTTTCTCAAAGACCTTGGACAGAAAAGGAAGGTTGCAGATGGGCCGATAGCTGGATAGCTGTGTTGGGTCAAGGGAAGGCACATCGCTCTCCAATAATGAAGGTGTGGTCTCGCCAAAGATAAGTGTGATATTTTGGGTTTGAACTCAACTGATTTAGTGCAGCAAAGAGCACAGCATCCTGTTTGTCTTGTTTATTGCTGCCTCACACTGTTTTGACATATGAGTGAAGAGTCAGCTAACACACCAGGATTTATTTCAGCTTTCCCCTTGGCAATTTCTATCCAGTCCATGAAATGCTCGTGTTTCCTATTGGTCTATCGCATAAGTTTATCTATACTTAGTTTACCATTAATTTATCTATATTGAATTTACCATTCATTTATCTATACTTAATTTAGCAGCCCATGTAAATACTCTGTCAAGTTATTTTGGCCAACATTTCCTGCCTCCTCTGATTCCCCAGTTGTCCCAAATTGATATCACGTGTGAATTTTATTTGGATCTATAAATCCAAGTCATTTAGAGATCTATCCTTTTCCTTTTTAATAATAACATGCTCCTGCTCAGTGATGTTATTGCAGACATGAAGTTAACTTCCACATGTAGCTGAATAGCATCCCAATTTATGTCAGCTTCTGAACTTGTTTCCAGGACTACTGCTGTTCTGATTGATTGCCTATTTGGACATCAAGTCCTGATGAGTGCTGGATGTCGTTCCTCCAGTTGAACGTTGACAAGACAGAGGCTTTCCTTTTCAGTCAGTGCCTTCTGGCCTCAGGTGCTGACAGCATAATCTATGTGGATACACACTCATTATAAATTTTGGAGGATGTCTCAAAGCACTTCATAGAGTATCCTCTAAAGTTCAGTGGCTGTGTTTTTTAGTGCACGGCAATACGCCACAAACAGCCATAAAGTATGTGACCAATTTGGGGGACTGTTGCCCAGGAAATCTGGAGAAACTCCCTTCTGCTTTGTATAATGACATGGGATCTTTGATGAACAGGCAGTTGGGCCCTTGGTTTAATTTCTCATCCGAAGGACAGCATCTCCAAAAATGCTGCATTCCCGCCCCTCTCCCCACCACCCCAGTATGACATTGGAGTGTCATTTTGTCTATATGATTTCCGTGTCCAGACTTGGGGCTTGAACGCTTAAATTCTGACTCAGCAGTGAGAGTGTTGCCAACTTAGTCAAGCTGAAAATGTAGTATGTTCGTGGTCATGATTTTAATGTCTTTACTGATAAAAAAAAGCTCCAGTAATTATTCATTTCATTTTTGCTACCGGGAGTCCATTCTTTTTTTATATAACCCTATCTGATTCCCTTAAAATTTTGACATCTTCCCTGTTGCAATATTCAAAGGATGTGAGGGTTTATGTTTTTGAGTTTAGATTTTCTTTTCCAGTTGGCTCTTGGATCCTATACGTCTCTTTCTGTACAGTCTTGTATTCAGCCCAATGGTCACCATCTCCTTCTATTTACAAGCTTTATAAATCTTCTGCTTCTCCTTTATCTCACTTGCTATTTCCTCTTGATCCATTTTGGTGTTTTTGTCTATTTTGCCACTGCTTTACTTTCTATATTTGTCCTGCTAGTGCAGCATAATCTTCTATAACTGGTTTGTCCTTGAGTAATTCCTCCCAGTCTATGCCTCTGGAAAGTGTGCATTCCATTCCAGCCAAAGGAAACTTTCCTTGTGTCGGTGGCATAAAAATGTCAGTTTGTTTGGATACTCATAAGCGCGGTAAAAGATTTCTGCATGTGTCAGAAGAGCAGCAGAGCAAAAAGAGTTATCGGGCATTCGATACATCTGCTCTGATGGAACCATCGAAGCAACAACAACAACTTGAATTTATATAGCATACCCAGGACTGAACAGTAGCAGAACTTGACTCTGAGCCAGGGAGAAAGGTAAATTGACCATAGACACAATCGAAGCGCAAAATCTTCAAGTGAGATTTGAAGACACTTAAAAATACTGTGTGGTACAGGGATAGAGGCAGGGAGTTCCAGAGATTCAGGAAATAGTGGCTGGAAGCTTCCCATGGTGCAGCACAGGGGTCAGGGTACACACAGAAATCCTGAGCCAGTCAGACAAAGGTGCAACTGGTGAACAAGGGAAACAAATGTGTAGGTTACAGCTTTTCATAGTATAAATATGGTGTAGTCTGCAGCGCCATCCGATGCCATAATTTATGAGCAATTGTAATATGTCAGATGGAGCTACAGATTAATGTTTCTTCAAACTCCTTCACAATCATCTGAGCAATTACAAAAGATGCAAGAAACACATTTGCTATCAGTTGATTAAACATCATCCCTTTATAGCATCCTTCACATCGGATATTGTTTTGGAGGGCTTCAAAGGGTT